ACAGCGTCGTTATTCGCGGGCGGGGCCTATCGGCAGTCGCTGCACCATGACAGGGGGGACGTCGGCGTCCTCGCGTGGCACTGGCATTGCAGTTCTCGACGAAGGCTACTGCAGAGGGGAGGAGGGGTAGGCGGACGAGGACGATAAGAAGAGGAAGGAGGAGAAGTAGAAGGAGGAAGAGGAGAGGGCGTAGAGAAACGAGAAACAAGAAGGAGCGTGGCACGCGGCTCGCTGGGCTCGACGCGGCGCGCCTGCCGCCTGCCGCGGCTCGGCCTGCCCGCCAGACACACGCGTGCTCCGGGTTGCCTATCCCGCCGTGGTCGGGCGCTATGCTCAGAGCCACGCTCCGCTCCGGCCTAGCCGGCCGGCGCAGTGCTGGCGCTGCCGGCGTAGTGCTGGTGTGCTGTGTGCCCGGGCCGGCCGGCCGATGGGGCCTTGTCGCTGCTTGGCTGCTTGGCGCCCCCCCCCTCCCCCACCCCTCGGACCCCGGCCCGGCCGCACCTCGCCGCCTCGGCCCACGGCCGCATGCAAGGGCAAGGGTGAGCTTGACGTGGGGCCTGGTCAGGGTCTAGCGAGGCTCAAGGGCCCGCCCTATTCATGCGGCCGACCACGTGGCATGTCTTGAAGGGCGCTTTTGATCCCCGACCCGGGTATTCGACTGCCGGCTCAGTTTCCGTTTCCTCGCTGCAGCGCTGTGAACGCGTGGAACTAGATTCGCAAGTGAAAAGGATCGCCGACTGGCAGACTGTAATAAAATTGTGAATGAGTGCGAGTGAGTGGGACTGTTTGGTCGGAGCGTGCGCGTGCTGCGCGTGTCTGTGATGCGCTGGCCTACTCTGTTATCTGGGACGATGCCCTGTTGCACCGCACCGCACCGCGCCGCACTGCGATGCGCCGCGTTCAGATTCTTGTCGGGTCACTCACACACTCGTCGGCGCGGTAAATACAGTGGTGCAGTGAATTGTCGCGCCGCGCGACTCGGTCACGCCAAACTCTCGGCCCGGCCGGGGCAGTAAAGCACGTGTAAATCTGTGGTGTCCGTACTTCGATCATTGTCTCACTGCTGGCGTGTCAGCTGTCAAAAAAAAAAAAAAAAAAAGAAAGGAGAAAAGTGTTGCAATTGTCTGTTTGCACTGTCCGCTACTTTCTCCAAAATAGCGTCACGTGCAAGAAAATAATTATAAACGTCCAAGCATTTTTTAAAAGATTTTCCACTTGAAGAGAAACAAAGAACGCCGATTCGAATCATCGTCGTTTTGAATCGTCGCAGCGTAACAAACAATGAACTATTTCGTGCGAAGGCCCGCCGTGCTTCGTGCTTCCACGAAATGTATACAGTACTACTCGGCTACCTGTCCCCCTCCCTCGTTAGGGGGTTCCGATGGGGAACTGAGACAGCGTCGCGTCCGCGTGGCTCCCCCTTAAGGCTGGGGGCTTGGGGCTGGGGGGCGAGGGGAAAGGGGGAGAGGGCGCAATGCACCTGCCGGGCAGACGCAAGGGAAACAGGAAAACTGGGCGACTACCGCGCAGAAGGGCGTATCTGTTCCAAGAGCCCGGGGAAGGTACGCCACGCCGCCCTCGTGTACGGCGGCCGAGCGGCGATCGACGAACCATTTCACTGCGTGGCGTGCCGTGGCGTGCCGTGCCGCGTGTCTATACCCGCCGCGCCAATGTCGCTGTGCCGTCTGAAGGCCGTCGCTCCCGCATCGACCTGACTCGGCTCAATAATGGACATTGATGCCGGCCAGTCGGAATGTCGCACGCGACGCGCGCGCGGCGGGGTGTTGTGCGCGGGTAGCGCACGCACGCCAATCCATGCCGCTCGAACCGCTCCGCATTGTCTCCGCGACGCCACGCCGCGCCGTATTTCCGGATTGACAAACGGCGCCGTGGAAACAATCGACGGTGAATCGCCTTTCTATTTGCCGCGGTGGCTCATTATTTCACTCCGGAATCGTGTAACCGCGGCGGCGGATCGGCGCCAGAGCAGGGGGAGGGGAGGGGGAAGGCGGGCCAGACGGCTGGCTACCGACCTGGCCAAGGGAAGGGGGGCGGGGGCTGCGCGGGGGCCTCGGGGTTGGCGCCCCTGCCGCCCCGGGTACCCCCTCCCCGCCCCCCTGCTGGTACCCAGTCGGCACCACAACCACTAGTTGCTCGCCGCGGAGGGAGGGGGGGGGGGCGAGGAGGAAAGGGTTCGCTTGGCAGGGCGAGGCAAGGCAGGGCCGCGGGGTGCGAGGGAGACTCGGAGGGAGAGGCTCTATCAAGTGGGGCGACCGCGCGGCCGGCCCGATCCTGATCGTCTTGATGTGTCAGAAGCGAGGCGGCGTGCGGCGTGGCGCCGCCGTGTCGCCGTCAAGGTCCGCGTCCGCACCACCAGTGCGCACTTGGCAAACACAGCGACCCGCGCACCGGCCGAGTCATGTCCACGCGCTATTTGAATGGCGCGGCTTCATTTGGCTCGGCGACGCTGCTGGAGCCTGTTTCTGCCGAGGCGGCTGTAATCGCACCGCGTTTCGTCATCGGTTCGAATCTCGGCGTGTGTATAGCAGATTTCGTTCTTGTTTCGAATTTGTATTCCTATGTAGGTCGCTGTGTGTGTGTGTGCATGTGTATGTGTGCGTTCTGCATTGCCTGTCCCGTCGCGGGCACGTCATCTGTTGCTCCGGCTGACGCAAGAAGACCCATGCGTTATTCAAATGCATAATGTGACAGTGTGCGTGTGTGTGTCTGTATGTATGTGTATGAGTGTGCGAGCGCGCCTGGTACCCTGCGCGGCCTGGGCTTGGCCAACCCCTAAGCGCGTTTCGCGAAACGGATGAGCGGGAATAAAAGGGCGCGCGGTTTGAAAAACAACAACCAAAAAAATCCCGCGCTCCTGACTCGCGGCGCGCTGACGGCATCTTATCAATAACAATCAACGTCAACCCTTTTTTCGGTCGGGTGGAGCTTGATTGGTGGCGCAAGCCGCGCCAACGGATGCATAAGCCGATAATCCTGTGGGTGGAGGGGCGGGGCGGGGCGCGCTTCGCATGTATGGCACCACAGGCATGCGGCAGGAATGTAGGTGTGCGCACCCTGAAGCGTAGCACTCCAAATAAAATGATCCGACCGAAGAAGTTTGTTTTCCTGCTGGGCTTCGGGGAGTTGCACCCTCGGGTCCGGGAATCGACACCGACACACCGACACACCAACAACACACCGAAGTCGACACACGGCGATGGCAATATCCCGCCCATGCCGCCGATCCCGCTCCCGCCGCCCCACGCCGTGCGTGCCGGCAGCCGGCAGCGCTGCCCCGCGCCGCGCCGTGTGGCCACCCTACTCTTCGCGGTGACTGGTGCCGCCACCTAGCGGCGGCGCGCTCAAGCTGCCGGTCGCCCCGCCCGGCGACTCGGCCGAAACCCCGGACCGCGCGAGGCGGCGCGGCGCGGCGCGGCGGGAACGGAGGACGCGGGGTAGCGACGCGGAGGCTGAGCGAGCGGATGAGAAACGCAGCGGTCGAAAGCGAGACGACGTCGAGGTGGCGCGGAGCGCGGCGCTGCCGTGAAGGTGGACAAGGCCTGCAAGGTGAAGGGCAGCCGTACAAGGGCAACGTCGTCTCGGGGTGAAGCGGTGACGCGGCCTCAACGCGCGTCGTCTTGCTGCGGGGAGTTGGCAAGTTGGCGCGGACTCATCGCGTCCTTGGAGTCCTTGGTCACCGCACTCCTCTCCGCGCCGTCTGGGATTCAGTGTCAGGGAAAAGGGAAGGATGACGGCATGGGCCAGCGTCGCCGTCCAGCAGAATGAATGCTCGCGCCTGCCTCGGCCTCAGTGCCTGCTGCCTGTCCTGGCCTGCCCTCAGACTTCCGGTCCCAGGCACGCCCAGGCACATCCATCCAGGCGTGCTTCAAGGAAGATGCGGCCAGCCGTGTTTGTATTGATTGCTAACCTTACTGGTTCCTACGAGGGGGAGAAAATTACTTGTTTGAGTTGCAACAAATTGAGTGGCCTCAACGTGAGCAAGGTATCACCCTTAACATTTTGGGGCCCCTCAATAATTGGCAGAGCCGGAACATTTTGTTGCCCCTTTTGGTTTCGCCTTAACAGCGTTCAAGCAAGCCTTAACATTTAGCAGGCCTGCACGATACAGCTCGCCTCAATGCCACGCCAGAGCGCTTTTACGAGTCTTAAAAGTTGTCCGATTTACAGGAGTTGCGGCCGCGTCGAGCAAAACTCGTGGAACGCTGTCCGGACACGCGTACACACTGCGTGATCTGCACGCCACACTGCACTATAGGCTGCATCCATAGCTTCATCCCGACAGGCCTCTAGAAGTGGTTCAAGATCGCCATACGCGGGCGGCTCGAACTCGAACCGCGGACCGAGGCTCCGACGCGGCCCGGGTGCCCCCCACCACTCTCCTAGCCTAGACCCGCAGCATGGCGACGGGCGTGGCGGCGTGGCGGGCCGCTAGCGGCGTGGCGCCGTGAGCCGCGGTTGGTGGGAGCGGGCCGGCGGGCGACGGGGGAGGCGGGGCTAGGCGGGCCGGGGCGAACCCTATTGGCTGGCCTGTGCTGGCCCACAACGCCAACCCTCCGGAGCGCTGCCGCGTGGCCGCGTCCTGCCGAACTGCCGAACCGGGCCGGCGCGGCTTGGTCGCGGCGTCGGCGTGGCGCGCGCACCATTGCAAGTGCTTACAGTGGCCCTGTGGCCAGCACGACGAGGTCCCCGGCGTGCGGGGTGGTGCGGGGTGGCGCGGGGAGGGTGTCGAGTGCTGCAGGGCGGCGGGGAGGAGGGCATGATCCTGACGAGCCGCGCCCGAGCCACGCTGGGCCGGCTGCTGCTGCTGTTAGTTGGCGAAAAACAAAGCGCAAAAAAGCCGGCGGCATGTGTCCGCTGGGCCACGCTCGCAACGCCCCGCCACGCCCCGCCACGCCGCCCAAGTTGGGCCCCGCCAGCCCGGCCAGCCCCGCCCCGCCCCGCCCCGCTGTACTACCTCGCTTAAACGCGACGCAGCGGCATTCAGAACGCCAAGTGGCACGCCAGGCGTCGCCGGGGCCGGGCAGCGTGCTGGCAGCAGGTCCCGGGTCGGTAATGGTTCGCGGTGCTTCGCCTAACCTCGCCTAGCCTAGCCGGTCTCCGCATAGTCCTCGCTGAGAGCGTGTCCGCGGTGTTTCCACCCGCCACCACGTCGCGGACGTCGCGGTCGTGCTGCGGGGGCGGCCTGTGCGTCGTGGTGGGCCTGGGCATGCCGGGTGCCCTTCTAGGGACGCTGCGAGTCTTCGGCTATGCGTCCTGCAGTCGGATTTTCCACACCGCCGCCAACAAGTAGTGCAGGTAAGTCGGCCTCGCGCTGGAAGCTCTGCTGCGCCGCGCTGCAGCAAGCGCTCAAGGGCGTGCCGATGTCACGCCGAGTAGCCACCCGGGCCGTGCCGAGCCGAGCCGGGCCCTATGGGCCAAGCCGAGCCCGTTCGAGCATGCGGCAGGAGGCCGAGCCGGGCCGGGCTGGACCGGGCTGGGGCCACGCCGAGGCTGCTAGGTCCTTTGTGCGCTGTGATCAATACTAGGCCTACGCCTCCCGTAACCTCCCCCTTCCCCTTCCCCCGCGGTAGGGCTGCGGGATCACTGGCTACGCCTACTGCCGCCCCGCCCCGCGCACCCCGCCACACCCCACCCTCACCCGGCCACACCCCAGTGAAGCCCTGCTCGACGCTCTGCTCGACGCCCAGCTCGACGCCCAGCTCGACGCCCTGCTCGACGCCCTGCTCGACGCCCTGCTCGACGCCCAGCTCGACGCCCTGCTCGACGCCCTGCTCGACGCCCTGCTCGACGCCCTGCTCGACGCCCTGCTCGACGCCCTGCTCGACGCCCTGCTCGTCCAGGCGTCGTGGACCCCGGGCGGCGTTCCCGTAGAGGACACCGGGGCCGTCCGTTGGTCGCGGCTCGCGGCGTGGCCGCCAGGGAGACCGTCGCGTCCCCGGGCATCGCAGCATCGCGGCATCGCGGCGCCGCCCAGCGAAAGCAAAAAGACTCGCCACGCCCAAAATAAAGCGCTGCGAATAGAAGGCAAGGCGCGCCGCGGCCACCGCCCTGCCGCCCTGCAGCCCTGGCGCCGCCCCGCCATCGGGACAACGGTGAAAGCGCGTTCGAATTTGGGCGGGAAACCGCGTCTCCGTCCGTTCGCTCGCGCGGTAAAAGTGCAGGCCCCCCTCTCCCCCCCACCCCCTTCCCGGCGTGGCGCGGAGTGGCGCGCCCGAGTGCATGTATACTTAGCGTGTTGAAAGTGCAATGTGTTGTTTGCCGGGGCGTTGCACTCGCCGCTGCACTCTCGCTGGCCTCGCGAGCGAAATGCATACATTGCAGTTCAAGTGCATTGATTGACATTGGCATTGGCCTTGCTGGCTGCCTGCCTGCCTGGCCGGCGGCCTTGCGACGCTGCGGTGCAGCTGCCGCGCCTAGGCGTCGCTTGACAGCCCGTCCGGCCGATACCCAGCGCCGTATGTTTTATCATAAAAGGCTGCTGCAGTTGGCTCCAGCCCGATTTCGCGCAGCATCTCGTCCCTCTGTCTCTCTCGCACCGATGCGGAGCGCCCCATGAGTGCGAGAGAGACGAAAGCAGCCTCCTGGACTGCCTGGACTGCCTCCCTCCTCACATGCAAATGTCCCGCCTGATTTCCGATACCCGGCCGGCCCGGGCCGTGCTGCTGCCCTGCCGGACCGGTGAGCTCTCTGGCCGTGGCCCCGGCTGCCCCAGCCCCCTCATTAAAATATTCTATATCATTTCCATTTTTTTTTCGCTGCTCGCGGCTTTGGCTTGGCTGCTCGGCTGCTTCGCCGCTTCGCCCCCTGGCCGCGTCGCCGCGTCGCCATCGCTGCGCCGGGAATGTGCATCAGAGTGCAGAAACTGCATTGACGCGATGCATGCAGCCTGCAATGCAAATAGCGCGGCCTGCCTGCCAGCCCCGTCTGCCCGGCAGCCCGCCCCGCCTCGCATTCGTCCCTCCACCACACTTAGCATGCCGGCCGCGCCGCGCTGCAGCCATGGCCATGGCCGGCAGCAGCCAGGCAGCAGCCAGCGGAGAGAAATACTGATTGCAGTGCCGCGTCATAAAAGTATATGCACTTATTTTCGCCACCTGGCCGAGCCCGCCGAGCCGCCAAGCCCGGCGAGATGGATGTAAAGTAAGCCATAAAGCCTTACTCGCGAAACACGGCACGTCGCAGCCAGCGAGCCTTAGCCCGCCGGGCCGCGGACTTTGCTTCGGAAGCCTCCCAAATTCTGCAGACTGCAGATACTCCGCAGGGATTGTACAGTGTACGCCCGCAGTCCCCGGGCAAGCGGCAAGCACAGCCAGCGAGTGCAGGCCGTCGTCGGCAGGCCTCTCGGACTGTCTGATCCTGCGCCGCGCGCCAAAACGAAACGCAAAAAACCGGTGCTGCGCGTCCAGCCTGGTTTCTGCGCGCCTTTGCGGAGTTGGGGGAGAGAGAGAGAGAGAGAGAGAGAGAGAGAGAGAGAGAGAGAGAGAGAGAGAGAGGTGAGAGAGGCAGAAAAAAAAGTGTCCTGGAACACGGCAGAAAGCGTCGTGCTGCTTCCGCTGCGCTGGCTGGGCTGCCCGGCCGCCAGCGACAATGATATGCATGCATCTGTCGGCAGCCTCGCTGCAACCGACTGCGGAACTGCAGCGGCCACTTCCGCTGCAGCGCGGAATGTGCAACCCCTTCACCGGGCCGTGCCTGGCCGTGTCGGCCGTTTCGGCGAACTGGAGGCTGCATGTCAGGCATCCGCGCTGTCAGCAACCAAAATCTTTCAAAACAAAGCAAGCTCCGTCTCAAATTTACAAACTGCAGTTTGCATACTGAACCGAACGATTTCGACCTTTGAACAGGATTTTACAGACAGGGTATTCGCTCAGAAAATTATGTGGCTTCACAATAAGTAAGAGGTAACAAAATTCGTAAATTACGAAGTCATTCGAAAAGGGAAAGAAAAATATTATGTGTGGCTCACTCTCACATTATGCTCAAGGTTTTTGCAGTGTTGCGAAAGATTCTGCATGCGCAGTGCTGAGGGAAAGTCACTGATAGAGTATCAGTGGTTCGCGTAGGCGTGGCCTAGCGTGGCCTAGCGCCGCGTCGCCGCGTCAACTGGCAATTCCTAGAATCACGCGCATGCCATGCCACGCCATGGCTCGCCTCAACTGTATAAGGAAGTCCGAGGCGCGGCGGTCGCGAAGCAAGACCCAAGTATCATCCAACACACACGCTTCAGGATGATGAAAACTGTCATTGAGCTAACAGCAGGCCCCGCGGCACGCAGCTCGCCACTTTCGGACATGTTTTCAAAAACGTCGTGTTGAGACCTCGAAAATGCAGTAAGCGATTTTTGGCAAAATTTGTTTCATACTGGCGTCGTATTGACATTATTTGCCGTCGTTCTGGCCTGATTTCGACTACCTCTTTCTCCTAATTGTTCCCTTCCGCGCACCCACCGCACGCGGTGCTCACGGTGCACGCTCCGACGCGGCCGAGGTGGACCAGTTCCAGTTCCAGAGTGTAGCGTGTAGTGGGTGTCGAGTCGAGGAAGGCGCCGACTGGCCTCCTCCCCAACCCCCGTGCCTCCGCCGCGCTGCCCGGATCCTGACGGGGTTGTTCGACTAGTTTTCGGAGCCGTTTTCTTCCTAAACAAACCTGCGTGACAGCGCGGCCAGCGCGACCGGCCATTCAAAAGAAAAATGGAAAGTAGGACTTGACGCGGAAGGAGGAAGGAGCGAGGCGTCCCTTTAACGAGTCGCTGTACTGGGCGGTGCTGGGCGGTGCTGGGCAGCCTCGTTAGATTTCATTTCCGCATACAAGCCGCGCGTCTTGCCGGAAAAAAGGAAAGAAGGGGACTCGCAGGGCTATCGCTTTACTCGTTTTACCCCCAAGGAGGGTTGATTTGAAGTGTGGTGGGTGGGAGGGCAGCTGACCCCCTCATGACCCCCCCCTCCTTTTTCGTTCTCTAGACAGCCACCCGAAAGTGTCACTCCGGACGAGATTCAGGAGAGAAGATCACCCGGTACACACGACCCGATTTTAACGGGCGAAATATTGTAATTCCTTCGGGGGATGAGCCGGACGGCGACAACGACACTGAAGTATTAAAAAGATGCACACGGCAAAAAAACATCAACACATTGCCAAAAAAAGGCGAACGCGTCGGAGTGGCCGCCGTGGACTGCATCACTAATCAATGCTCCGGCCGGCCGGCCCGCCAACCGCCGGCAAGGCCAAGAAGGGCGGCCTCCAGTCCGCGCACCGCGGCGTGCACTCGGATGCACATGCCAGTCAAAGAATTTGCTCTTGCGTTAAATAGAGAACGGCCACAGGGTCGCGCCTAGAACCCCAACAAACACACACACACACACACTTACACCTACACACGGTGAAGCAAAATCCGCGCGGAAAAAGTGGCCCGGGCGAAACAAAGCGGACTGTGGTGATCCAATCTCGGAGGGGGTGGCGGTCGGTGGCGGCGACGACAAGGATGGTCCCAAGCAGGCCGGGCAGGCCGAGCAGGTGGGGGCGGAATGCGGAACCCGAGTCACCTGGGCAGCGCGACGCGGCGCGGCGAGGCGCGGGTGGACGGACGGGTGGCTATGCAAATGTTGCCCTGGCCGCCGCACCGCCGCACCCTCCCTGAGCCCCACCCTGTACTGCTTTTGTCGTTGGCCTTGTTCTCCAGCCGCGCTGCTCCGCGCTGCTCCGTGTTCCGGGTCGCGCCAACGTCTTCGGCGAGGGCCTTTCCCACGGTCGGGTCGCCGCGTCGCCGCGAAGCCGCCACCCCCGCGCGCCAAGACGGCGTGACCGACCACCACCGACCGGTAGTCCGAGCAGGCCGGGCAGGCCGGGCCAGCGGGGCAAGGTGGTTCGGCATGAGGCAGAGCGGCGCGCAGGGCCACGCCGGCCTCGGCAGTTGCGTCTCGCCTCTCGTATTGCTGCGTTGGGTTTGTTTTTCGTCTGACGAGCGATTCTGAACAGCTCATAGCTTCAAGGCTGTGAGTTTGGAACTCCTAACTTGAACTTGAACTTTCGTTGCTCTGTCTCTCTCGTGCGTTCGGCGGGGGAGAGAGAGAGCGCGCGAGAGCGGTACAACGCTGTGCAGAATCAGTGTGCTGAATGTATATCTCGGCTCGGCGCGCCTCCCGCGCATGCAGCATGCATGCAGCAGTGACCCTCACCTTGCGGGCGGCCATGGCGGCGACGCGGCGACGCGGCGCAACGGTCAGGGACACGCGGGCAGAGAGGGAGGGAGGGAGACGCACTGGCAGAGCCTCCACAGGCAGAGCCTGCACAGCCCG